GAAGTATTCTTAAAGCCTGGGGCTACCAACTATATGGCACATTGGGCAGCAATTTTTTCTACGTTTCGGAAATCATTCTCCCTGCAAGTGCACTCAGTGTAAATCTGTGGATCGGAGTTGGTTTAAGTCCCATTCCATTATCATAGCAGGAAGGATATGAGAGGTCAATAGAGATACAGTCCTTCACTTTGTCTTCATTTATATCCATCCATTAACAGATGGAGTCTGTTTGCTGCCTGTGTTAAGCTGGGTTTAATAAAAAAGAAACCATCTGTGTCTTGACTGGGAGAACTTCTTGTTCCCTATATTGTGAGGACATATTTCCTACTGCTTGAAAGATTTATGCAATATAGTACTATGATATCATTTCTAGAAGTAAGTCCAAGGAGAGGTCAAGGTTTGGCCCTGAACTGAGCTTGAATTGAGTACATAGGGTTCTGATGGCTCATCACACACATCTGTTCTGCAGGAAAGAACAGAACCAAACCCTCGTTATACATCTGCTTGCTGACATAAGACAGATCAAGTCAGTGGGCCAGTGATTCGAGGACAGACACCGGACTAATCCAATCACACCCTCCCTGGCCAGGCACAATCAATCACACCTTCAGCTCACAGTGATTGGAGATAGACCTACATGAACAAGTTGGGTCATTTCGAGCCAATAATAGGAAAATAAAACGAGTTGGATAACATGAATCAGTGTTTGAAACACTGAACCTTCATAATGTTCAGAGTGAAACAGTATTCAGCAAGAAATAATGTAGAGTCAGACTGGATTTTATAATACTTAGAAAACGTTTATAATACTTATAGACAATTAAATAATTTCAACCCTGTTAATGAAGAGCTAGCATCCTGCCTAACCCCTAACCCGTTCTCCGGCCATAATCAAACATAACTAAACAACCTAACCAAGGTGTTCATGATTACTGAAAATTACAAGCAGGTTGACTGCTCTTGTTCTAGATGATGAAATATTTAGAGCAGAGTACACCTTAAAAATAATTTCGCTACAAATATTTTCATGACTTTGTTTGGAAATTACAGTTTTTAAATTGCCTGATATCTCCAGGTTTCAAGAAAGTAAATAGGGTAAATTTGGACTTCATGTTGTCTTTAAAACATTTTTTTGTTTATCTCAGAAGTCAGCTGCATAATTTTTGGAGAGCAGGACACATTTAACTGAAATGAGAC